ACTAGAAATTGGTAGATGACGTGGGAGTGCTGTGTTGTTGCTAGTTTAACGTTGGGACTATTTTTTATTAGTAGTTGTTGCGACTTAAAATTTTTATAATAAATAAGAAGGTTTATTTTTTCATTAGAATCAACTGGATGGACTCCTTTTTTAATGATTTTTCTAATTATATATTCGTCTTCTTTATATACGAAGAGCTCATTAAGTTACGATAAAATAAAGTTAATTTTGCACTGTCGGTATTGTTGTTTGAGTTGTTGTTATTGTTATGAATGGAGTTTGCGATAACGAGATTGTCATTGATTGTGCTGTTATCATTGTCATGATCCACATGGTCATCGTTATTGTCGTTGTTATTGTTGTTGGAGTTGGTAATAGAGTTTGCATCGTTGTCACCGACATGATCAGCAACAACGTCGTTGTTTGAGTTGTTTACATTACTGACAAGATTATTGGAAATAAATTGGTTGTCGTTGTTGATTAGGTTATCGACAATGACTTGTGCAATAGTAACATGGTTACCATTGTTTTCGTTGTTATTTATGTTATCATTATCATGATCATTGATAATACGTCTATCATTATTGTTCGTGTTATTATCACTTATATTGTCGTCATTGTTGTTTGTGTTGTTTCTTGTGTTGTTGTCAGTGTTGCTTGTGTTGTTATGGCTGTTATGATCGATAGAAACGTGGTTATCATTGTCGGTTACATTGTGATTATAACTTGAGTTGTTTTTAACGTTTTCATTGTTATCATTTACCTTAATATTATTATTTTGAATCTTTCTAATTTCATTGGTCATTATTTTATCTATTGTTGAATTGTTAAAATTATTGTTGACAAGGAATTGTTTTATTTTATCGAGTTCTTTACGAAATTCAAGTGGTTCAGAGCTGTGTGAATATGCCCGTCTGACATACGATATTATCACACTATTCTTATACCGATCTGGATACTCGCTATTTCCTTTCATGCATATCCCGTTGTTGGTTGGTTTGACGTAAACAGATGTGCGAAATGTGTTGGGTGTTAACTGATCAATTAAAATATCAAGATAGGTCAATTTATTGTCATTACTTTTTTCCACAGTAAATTTTAAACATGAGTTAAGGTGAAACAATTTATTCAGCTGTGTTATATCTCTCTCAAATTTGGTTATGACAAATATATCATCGATATATCTACAATATACGAGAGGTTTACGATAACGCTTGAAGATTTTGTATTCAATTGTTCCCATATAAAAATTTGCGAACAAGACTCCCAGTGGAGACCCCATAGCTACGCCATCGGTTTGCACGTACATGTGTCCAGCGGGGCATACAAACGGTGACTGCTTCGTGCATATTTCTAACAAACGTTGTAGATCCTCTTCTCTAATATCCAAACATGGAGTTGTATCATCGCGATATACTCGATCAAGTATGTATTGTATTGTAGTATCAACCGGCACGTTTGTGAAAAGAGATTCGACGTCATATGAAGCCATCGTTCCCGAATCTCGATTTGCTTTCAACAATTTGATGACATCAGTTGATCTTTTGACACAATAATTGTCAGGTACATATGTAAGTTAACGTTGTTGTATATTTATTTTTGGTTTATTGATGTCAAGTAGAACTGCTTCTGCAATTTTAAGATGCGTGTAGTTGCTGTTCTGGTATATTATTTTGGTGTTGCTGTCGAGGATTTCACGGCTAATTGTGATTGAGTGTGTTGAGTTATCTCTAGTACTGCAGACTGAGTTAAAGCGTAATCACGTAATATATGAATTTAATTGCCCCTTTGACGGCTGTGCACGTCAACATGACTCATATATCGGGATTACTACTACTATTATTTAACTTTAATCGTTACGTTACTTTCGCGCTCAACTCTTATTACGTCATCTGACAATTTATTGTTATGTTTTATTTGAATTAATATTAAATTGCCTGAAGATGAATTATAAAATTCGAAACGTCGCTTAATAAATAATTATATAATGAATATTGGTGTTCTTATTTTTAATTTAAATTATAATTATAAAAAACTAATAAGAAAAATAGAAAATCTTAATAAAAAATTAAATAACAATAATATAAGCATCGCGTTTAATGAAATATGCTTAAATGAAAATTTGTTACCGAAATTTACTGATATTAAAACTTACGATTTAACAAATAAACTTCAGGATATTACTTTATCTTACAGAAGAAATTTAATATCTCGCGAAATTGAAGATAAGCGGAAAACTCGTGATGAGTTACAGCACGATTTGGACCTAGCGTATGAAACATGGAATAATATAATTGATATTGATATTGAACTTAAAAATAAAATAGACAATAGTTTAAATAATATTATCGATCAACATTTTAATACATCAACAAATAAAATAATTGATAAACTATCTCGTTTATATGGCGGTAACTTCAAATTTCCTCGTCCTCAACAAGGTTTTGTCAATTTGTCAGATATAAAATTGACTTATCATCAAAAACGTTTGTTAAACTTAGGACTAAACTGTCATATTTTGAAGAAACCACATAACTTACAAAAACGAGTTAAAATTGAAGTGCTCATCGATCAAATTTTAAAATTGAATAATGATAAGAAAGTCATCATAAATCAATCGCTCATCCCTGACCTTATTTCAGAATCCCATAAAAATAGAGGTAACTATAATAGTAAAATACGCGACAAAGAACTTATAAATGCTGCCAAGCAACTTAAATCAAACAACAATATAACCATTCGAAAAGCCGACAAGTCAGCGTCATATGTTTTGATGAACACACCCGAATACGTCGAATCTCTTTTCACAAACGTGCCGGTTGATATTACAATACATACTTGATCGAGTATATCGCGATGATACAACTCCATGTTTGGATATTAGAGAAGAGGATCTACAACGTTTGTTAGAAATATGCACGAAGCAGTCACCGTTTGTATACCCCGCTGGACACATGTACGTGCAAACCGATGGCGTAGCTATGGGGTCTCCACTGGGAGTCTTGTTCGCAAATTTTTATATGGGAACAATTGAATACAAAATCTTCAAGCGTTATCGTAAACCTCTCGTATATTGTAGATATATCGATGATATATTTGTCATAACCAAATTTGAGAGAGATATAACACAGCTAAATAAATTGTTTCACCTTAACTCATGTTTAAAATTTACTGTGGAAAAAAGTAATGACAATAAATTGACCTATCTTGATATTTTAATTGATCAGTTAACACCCAACACATTTCGCACATCTGTTTACGTCAAACCAACCAACAACGGGATATGCATGAAAGGAAATAGCGAGTATCCAGATCGGTATAAGAATAGTGTGATAATATCGTATGTCAGACGGGCATATTCACACAGCTCTGAACCACTTGAATTTCGTAAAGAACTCGATAAAATAAAACAATTCCTTGTCAACAATAATTTTAACAATTCAACAATAGATAAAATAATGACCAATGAAATTAGAAAGATTCAAAATAATAATATTAAGGTAAATGATAACAATGAAAACGTTAAAAACAACTCAAGTTATAATCACAATGTAACCGACAATGATAACCACGTTTCTATCGATCATAACAGCCATAACAACACAAGCAACACTGACAACAACACAAGAAACAACACAAACAACAATGACGACAATATAAGTGATAATAACACGAACAATAATGATAGACGTATTATCAATGATCATGATAATGATAACATAAATAACAACGAAAACAATGGTAACCATGTTACTATTGCACAAGTCATTGTCGATAACCTAATCAACAACGACAACCATGTTATTTCCAATAATCTTGTCAGTAATGTAAACAACTCAAACAACGACGTTGTTGCTGATCATGTCGGTGACAACGATGCAAACTCTATTACCAACTCCAACAACAATAACAGCGACAATAACGATGACCATGTGGATCATGACAATGATAACAGCACAATCAATGACAATCTCGTTATCGCAAACTCCATTCATAACAATAACAACAACTCAAACAACAATACCGACAGTGCAAAATTAACTTTATTTTATCGTAACTTAATGAGCTCTTCGTATATAAAGAAGACGAATATATAATTAGAAAAATCATTAAAAAAGGAGTCCATCCAGTTGATTCTAATGAAAAAATAAACCTTCTTATTTATTATAAAAATTTTAAGTCGCAACAACTACTAATAAAAAATAGTCCCAACGTTAAACTAGCAACAACACAGCACTCCCACGTCATCTACCAATTTCTATGTCCTCACGAAGACTGTAGGCTTCGTCCATCTTCTTATATTGGAATGACTACCACAAAACTGACACGTCGTTTAACCTGCCATTTGAACATCGGAGCTCCAAATCAACACTACCATGACTGCCACAACCAGCAATTATCCCGCAAAAAATTAGAAGAAAATACTAAAATATTAATGAAAGACACTAATTTTAACAGACTACAAATTTTAGAATCCCTATTTATTAATATTTATAAACCTAATTTGAACAAACAAATTTATTCCAATTTTATTTTACCTTCATCACGAAATGTTTAATTTATTATTATTATTATTAACATAATATTGCACATATGATATATTTTATTATGTTATATTACAAAATAATTGTTTATTATACTTAATTTAACTACTTACGTTATTTAACTTTAATCGTTACGTTACTTTCGCGCTCAACTCTTATTACGTCATCTCACAGTTTATTGTTATGTTTTATTTGAATTAATATTAAATTACCTGAAGATGAATTATAAAATTCGAAACGTCGCTTAATAAATAATTATATAATGAATATTGGTGTTCTTATTTTTAATTTAAATTATAATTATAAAAAACTAATAAGAAAAATAGAAAATCTTAATAAAAAATTAAATAACAATAATATAAGCATCGTGTTTAATGAAATATGCTTAAATGAAAATTTGTTACCGATATATATATATATATATATATATATATATATATATATATATATATATATATATATATAATCTATATTGCTGTCGAGGATTTCACGGCTAATTGTGATTGAGTGTGTTGAGTCCAAATGAGATTTGATAGCACCACTCTGTTTATGCATCGTAAGCCTTCTAGTCAGTGAGGTAGTAGTAATCCCGATATATGAGTCATGTTGACGTGCACAGCCGTCAAAGGGGCAATTAAATTCATATATTACGTGATTACGCTTTAACTCAGTCTACAGTACTAGAGATAACTCAACACACTCAATCACAATTAGCCGTGAAATCCTCGACAGCAACACTAAAGTAATATACCAGAACAGCAACTACACGCATCTTAAAATTGCAGAAGCAGTCATAATTGACATCAGTAAACCAAAAATAAATATACAACAAAAATTTCAACTTCACTTCTAACCCGGCGCTTAACCAACAACGAAAACAAAGGAGTAATAAAAACTAGCATCGTAAATAGTGACAAAGAAGAATATGATGCTATCGATGAAGAAAAGGAGACCAAAGAAAATAAAGAAACCTGACACCTAATTCACATCAAAGTTCAATTTTACAACACCAAAGTTAATTTTTACAACGTCAAAGTTCATCTTGACAAAGTCAATATTTCCCTATATATACAGCGAGGAGCACTGATGATGATTCATTCGGAATCGAGACATGGCCTTATTTGCAGCATGAATTCGAAAAATAAGTTTATTTTGAATTTTAATAAACTAAACGAGTACCAAAAAACTTTAGTGAGAAAAATCGAAAAAACGAACTTCAAACATATTAACGCCAAACATTCGGTAGAATTTATAGAATATTGTAAAAATTATGGTCTATTACCAACATATATAAATAAAATATATTGGACGTATATATATATATACATACAGTATTATATGAATTGTGCCGAATACGTCAGCAGTTAAACAGCATCCACAAATACACTTGTCTGAAAAAGAACAGCGAAAGAACCAAGACTCAATACGACCAAATGAGAAACATTGTGAATTTAACCTCATCGAATTTTGTATGGCTGTATAACCCTCAAAGAAAAAAAGACGACCTCCAAAGCATCAGCAAAATTGGATAGGACTTTATTGACGCTCCAAATACCGTGAATAAAGTCTCACCCGAAACTCTACAGTCAATAACAGATTATGTGGACAATCTCCGTCAGCGGTTAATCAGCATCTACAAATACACCCGCCTGAAGTTGAAAATGAATAGCGAAGCAACTAAGACCCGATACGATCAAAATCTATTTCTGAAGTGAAACGGCACGGAGGTTAAAGTAAAAAATCTGTGAGAGGCTACCATTAAAATAAAAAAAACACAGTTAACTAAAATTAAAGTTAAAAAAAAGTTAAAAAAAAAGTTAAAAAAAACTTTTTTGGGGAACCACACTAGAAATATTTGTAGTTTGTGATACAAAATTGTCAATTATTACTTATTGTTTCCTGTTTTTTTTAGATATGATTTGATGAGTTGCAAGAGGTCGACTCTACTTTGAACCGTTGTGTTCCAGTTTTTGAACAAACTATGATGATTTACTGTCGAAAGCTTTTGTAAAATCTTTGTATACAGACAGTGTAGATTGATTTTTTATTCAGGAATTGAACAGTATCACATATAAAGTTAAAACTGCGTTTTCTGAATATAAACCGCGCGTGGTGAATTATTTTATTTCTTTCCAGAAAATTTTTGATTTTAATTTTTATCATTTTTTAATAATTTTGACAGACATAAAACTATGCTGATTAGTCTCTAGTTAGTGATATCATTAGATAATGGATCCGGTTTATGAATGAGAACTTCCTTAGATATCATGTGGCAATCTGGAAATACATTAGTGGAAATAATTTTATTGAATAAATGTAATACTATATCAGAAATCGATAGCATAGTTTTTTTAAACTTTATTTGATCGATGATTATTGTCTAAATGTTTAATTAGATAATTTCTTAGTGCATAGTAAAAGCTTTCCCATAAAAATAGGTTCAAAAGTTAAAAAAGAATTGATTCTTGGTTGCATTAGGGACGTCGACAGTTTCATTTACAAAGAATACTAAAATATCTATTGAAGATATCTGCTTTTTTTGAGAATTATCAATTAATGAAATCATTGTTGTAGTGAATAAGCGTATTTTTTATTTCCTTTTTTTGTTAAACTTTATAGATTTTTCCATGTTGACTTGATGTCATTGATGCATGATTTAAATAATTTTTCACAAGGATTTTTTTACGGTATCTATCATATTGTTGGCAGTGTTTCTTTTTATATTCTTTTTGTTTTTTCGTATTAAAGGGTTTTTTTAACTTTTGGTTAAACTATCAATATTATTTTTTTGATTAGCTATTTGATGTCATTTGTAATCAACGGATGATCATTTTTTACTTTTTGGCTCCTTTTTTATTTGTGGGCAGCGTTTGTTGGTGTAGACTTTCAACGCTGCTAAAATAAATCAAAGGATCTATTGAAATCAGTCTTTTTTTACGATGTCTCAATTGTGTTGGTGCAAAACTGTTACTATACTGTCCATATTTTTAGACGAGAAATTATGGAAAAAATATTTTCATTGCCATTGTTTGTATATTGTACACTAAAACGCTGCGAAATAAAAATTTGGCAGTGGTCTGGTATGTCTACAGATATCGTGGCACTGAAGTATTTATTCAGATTGTAGGAGAAAATGTTATCTATTGTCGTCTTTGTTGTGCTAGTTTCTCTGGTTGGCACGAATAAGGAAACAGAAAATAAAATGTATAGTAAATTATTTGCATTTTGATTTGAAGTTTGTATATCCATATTTATGTCAACTGTTAAAAATTTATTATTTGAAATTAGCCTAGTCTCAATATATGAGATTACGTCAAATCTAAGTTATAAATTACAAGAAAATATTGGGTATTGTCTATTTGATTTGACATACTTCTGCAGTTCGTGCAAAATATATGTGTTTTATTGTTCATATTTATGTTAAAACATATTTACATATTTGTTTAAATCTTCTTTCTGATAAAATCTAAAGGTTGACACTGACTGAAGATGGATGAACAAGGTTTAACAAGGATGAAGAGTAATGGTTTTCTTTATAAGTTATATTATCAAAACATAAATTAATCAAAAAATTATTAGAGGTGAAAATTGTTTAATTGTTTGACCCATTTTGGTTTATGATTTTCCATTCAGCCTCATTAATTTCATCAGCCCAATTGTCTTTCATTTTGGTTGGTTTCCCAAAATCCATTGTTAGCGATACTGATGTTGGCTTTAAGTTTTCATGAAGTAATTAATATGCAATTAATTATTTTTTGCCGATGTTCCTTTCAATTTTATTTCTATATTTAAGCAACCTTGGATGACTCATGATTTATTACAAAAGTGGGAAAACTTTTTGCTGTGAGGGCCGCTTTGAGAACTATTTTACCTTTATATTTCAATTTTTTTTGACCCGGGAGAAAATTTTTTAAGATTTGTGGTTCCTTTTTTTAATCATAATGTCTTACTGATGACCTTTTTTTGCCAAGTCCTCGCGGGTCGCATAAAATAGCTTCGCGGGCCGCATAAGAGCCGTAGTTTGCCCGCCCCTGATTTATTACGTTTTTCTAATGAAAAAATAAGATGATAAGATGTATAAAATATTTATTAAAAACAGTAACCTAGAAAACAAAAATATTTAAATTACAAAAGAACTATTTCTAAATTTTAAATTTTTGCAAAAAATATATATTATCACAAACAATTTTACTTAAATAAATCAAATATATTAAAACATGAAAACTATTTAGATCAACCTTAAATCGAAATAGTAGTGAATAAAGATTAATTATTTAAAATGACAAAACTAACAATATGATTGCAAACAAGAACGTGGTTTGAAACAAATTTAATAATTTATTTGCAGTTTAAAGATCAAATTTTTAACTTTCATTTTCAAAATATCTGGTGATTCCCAGTTCAATTCTTTTTATTTGACAAAAAGTAATAAAAAGGAAATTCACGATATCGTTAAAAGTTTATAAAAAGCAAAAAGCTCGGGTAAATATCAAATCAAATTTTTTATCTTATTCTAATATACCACACACTTTTATAACCATTAAAACATTTAA